GGAACATTTACTTGTAATGTTAACACTATAATGTACAAGGACTTGTGAAGCTGGGGAACATTTACTTGTAATGTTAACACTATAATGTACAAGGACTTGTGAAGCTGGGGAACATTTACTTGTAATGTTAACACTATAATTTACAAGGACTTGTGAAGCTAGGGTATATTTACTTGTAATGTTAACACTATAATGTACAAGGACTTGTGAAGCTGGGGAACATTTACTTGTAATGTTAACACTATAATTTACAAGGACTTGTGAAGCTGGGGAACATTTACTTGTAATGTTAACACTATAATGTACAAGGATTTACGTCGAGATGAGTTATCTCAGATTGATCTTATTGCGCTAGACTGAATATTGTGGCCAGGCGTGTCCTAGTGGTTAACGCACCTGATTGTAGATGCAAGGGTCCATATTTCGCGTCACATTACCGCAAAATCCCGCTCCGCCCTTGGGGCCATTATAAGAATTTCGATCAAATCTCACCATTTCGGTAGAGTATCACAAAAGTTGGCTACTGACTAACTATTCTTTAATGTAGTCTATCAATACAAAATTAGAGATGACTATGTGTAAATAGTTTCTGTATACCTGTGTGTGCGTTTCTGAAACAAACCAAAGATTGTACACGATTGACGTTATAGCAAGTAATATCAAGGGCCTTAACACTGTTGTTCTTTGATATATATATATGATTTAATACTGATACATTCCACTTATCATGTTGATTTTTAAAAGTTTGCATTTTTTCTCATTTTCAGTTCAATCAGTAGCGTAGGTAGACCTAGTTTCCCAGAGTCGACTGACTTTGAAACAACCTTGTCCCGACAAGGGGTTCAGGGTGACCCTAAAGTTCTATTCCGACCTGGGATGGACAAGGGAAACCCAATCGGTAAATCTGACGTCAATGAAGACAAAGTGTCAAAGTCAAACCAGGACTTTATTAAAAATAAAGAAGTGTTAGATGGGCGTGCAACAGCTTCGATTACAAGTCTTTGTTACCACCTGTCTGAAAAACTACAGATCATTAAACCATTAGAAGGTAAACCATTTTATAGCCAATAACTGTTGCTCGAAATAAAGTTGAAAATTGTACTTGGAAAAACTATCGAAGTAAATTGAACAAAATGTCCATATCGAAACAAAACATAAAATTCGTTTAGTGAATAAGATTTTTTATTGTTATATTTTAACATTTTGGTTTTTTTAAGGGAAAACTTTGAGCTAGAAAATGTAAGAGATATTAGAGAATTTACAAAAATTTTCTCCTAGATTTTTTCTTTGTTTTAACAGTTCATCTCTAATTAAAAAACGGAGTATATGCTAAATAAGATGTCTAGTATGCTATTGATTGATATCTATTTTCAAGTAAAATATAATTATTTCTGGAACTGGTCAGCACAACAAGAACTAGCTGGTAAAGCTGTAGAAGTATCCCAGTTTGGTTTGATTATTGTCCATCTTCTATTTAGGTTCACTCACGCTTCATCGGTGGCAGAGATTGGCTACTCCCAACCTTGGAGGAATCTTCGAGACTAGGCCTGGAATACAAGTAAAAGAAGAGGTTCACATACCTCAGTTAGAAGCTGATGTTTTCACACTAGGTGATTTGGAAGAAGATGAAGGTAATCATTCCGATTATGTTTGTTTGTTTGTTATGAATTTCGCGCAAAGCTACACGAGGGCTATCTGCGCTAACAGTCCCTAATTTAACAGTGTAAGAC